ATGTTGCGTGCAAATTTTTATTTCGTCAGATATCTGTGGACGTGCTTCATGAGACACATAGCGAGAGAGAGAAAGAGAGCAAAAGCGAGAGAGGAGAGGAGAGGGTGGAAGAGAGAGAGAGAGAAAGCGAAAGGGAGCAGTAATGAATGATGAAACAAATGGTTTACTAACCAACGAAAATTTCATTTCCAAAAATACAATGATGATGATGATGATAGTACTGAATGCGAAGAAATAAGAAGACGAAAGGTTGCATATATGTGCGTGTATGTGCGCGTGTGAATCTAAGTAGGAAGAAAGATGGAGATGATTTCTGTCCTCTCTAACCTCTCCTTTTTCATTATCACTACTATTATTATCGTTATTGTTTTACACTGAAGAATGAAAGAGATATTGGGTCAGGGTATGAGGCATGATATGCATTAACAAATTATGAAAATGAATTGCATAGTCTGAATTATTATTTTTTTTCACTTTACCGCCTTTTTATCTAACAGTATAAGTCAACCTAATTATATTCTCAGTGTTAGTTAGGATTGTTCATTATGAGCAAGGAAATATTGTCAGTTCGGTGAATAACTGATATACCAGTTTCCTCAAGGTTAATTCGAATCCCGGTGGATGCGTACTGATGAAGAGTCCCAAACTAGGACGAAACAGCTGTCCAGTACTCCCTGCAGGTTTCCCAGTGATTCTCTAACTGATGTCAGCTCTAGATGAAATCCTCCATGCAATAAAACAATAAAGCAAGAATACAGTTATAGCTCAGAAGAATTCTGAATTGTGTCATACTATATCTTGCAAAAAGAATTGTAGAAATTTCAAGAGTTGGTTTTTATGCATTTGATTTGTTTTTTTAGTTTGACCACGGATTGATATCAGTTAAAGAACCAATGAAAACAAGCCACATGGAGTACTGGATAGCTGTTTCATCCTATTTTGGGAATCATCGGCAGTACGCAAACACCAATGGGTTTCCAACTCAGGACCTTCCAGTTACAAGGTAAGCTCGTATACCCTTCAGCCACTGGGACCCGATTCAATGGCCAGCCCTTGAATTCTAACTTCTACCAATTCATGATTTTTACGCGGCCACTAACCAATGTTATCAGTGGGACATCCTTCCTCACAATTGACTGGATGAACCTCACTGGTCACGTTTTCTCACTAGAACTCCAGGAAACTCCGTCCGGTAGCGAGTCACTAGAAATGTTCAGTTTGTTAAACAGTCTGAATTTCACAAGATTATATAAGTTTGATTGGACACTAACTAGTATATTGCATCTAGTCCTTTGTTTGATACAGACTGGATTCTATCAGTCAAGTTCACAAAGTCACTATTATGATATCACGGTGCACTCAGAACTGTTGTTGTTATCAGATGGTTGAAGACAATGGACAGAAAGCCTTGAACCTAGGTTTCGCACTTGTTGGTACTCACCAGTCAGCAGGGCGTGTTTGTAGTCTTGAAGGAGCTCATATTCCTTCTGAGATTTGAACCCGGATCACTCAATGCTACAGTCGCAGACGTTACCAATTGGCTGAGAGAATTCACACTGCACCAAACAAAGGACTAGACATATTACACTAGTTATTAACTAGTGTCTAATCAAAGCATTCAATACAGTCCCACAGGAGGTCAATCGAGAGCCCAAATAGACCAGTGGTGACCTCTCTGACTTGAGCACCGGGTGACACGAGTTCAGTATTCAGAAGTGACATGAGTTCCTTCAGTATTGCTGATGAGTGTTAACAAGCATGAAACCTAGGTCTAAGGTTTTCTGCCGATAACCTTCAACCATGTAATAACAACAATGATATGGATTTTTCGGAAATTTTCAATATCCCTTAACTGATAAGTCCCAATCATCACTGAAGTTACTAATGTTCAGACCATGGATGATACGAATTTTCAGGAATAATTTGAACGCCTAGGAATGAAACTAAATTAAAGAGTCTCGGAAAAAGATTAGCCATATTATTACATGATATAGGAAGCGGACATAAGATCGATTGCGACAATATCGAGATTCTAGGAAAAGGATTTTAATCACATAAAGAAAGGATAGTCTCTGAAGCCTTGCAAATTTTGACCACATCGAATGCAGTAAATAAGAGATAAGGCGTAGACTTATCACCTGCATTGTAGACTCTGATGAAGCAAAACAAATGGAAAGAAATTTATTGAGTCCTGTGCTGTGACCTCTGGAAAATATTATCATGATTTGCACATATAAGCTAATGAGTTTTCCATAAGTCAATCAATATATACACACACATGCAAAGTGATACGCGCACATGACAATTTGACCTTAGTCATTAAAAATATGAGATGATTGTTTACATGTTGTCATTGGTACAAATGTCTACCGAAAAGTGAGTAACCTCTACAGGAGTTTACTTTAATTTATGTAATTTTTAGCTGTATATTTTGATGGTTGTACAGAGAAACATTCGGAAAAATCTTGTTTTGATTTTCTGAACTGATTTCAATCCTTACAAATAAACCCTTGGAAATTAATTTAACGCTCTGTAGTGACTGGCTACAGAAAGAAATTGCCTGGAGTGATGGTGTGAAGTTATAATCAATGCGAACCATCCGGTCAGGAGTGTGGACAAATACTCATCGATGACACTGGCTAGTGGTCTCACTAAAGTCAGGAATTGGTAGGAGTTAAAATCCATGGACCATTGAGTTGGGTCTCAGTGACTAAATGGTTCACGAGCTCATCTTGTTACCAGAAGGTCTTGGGTACGAACTTAGGTGAGTACGCACTGTCGAAGAGTTCTAAGCAGGGATGAAACAACTTTCCAGTACACCCTGTTTTTCAATGGTTGTCTAACTGGAATTTTACAAACAGTAAAGTTAGTAGTGTTTTTTCAAGCATTGGCTTTTTAAGGAATTTTGTTGGATTGCATGGAGGATTTCATCATGAGCTGACATCAGTTAGAGAGCCATTGGAAAACCTGCAGGGAGTACTGGACAGCTGTTTCGTCCTAGTTTGGGACTCTCTAGCGACTGGCCTTATTCAGGCAGTTAACCTGGGATTTTGGTGGAAAGCCATGCCCAGTAGGATGCAGCAGGCTGAAGGTGAGGCAATAACACTTCGAAGAAGATATCGCGAAGTGGTCGAGCTATGTAATGAATTGACAGAAGTTAGAATTAATGGATTGGCCATTGGATCAGGTCCAACTGGCTTAATGGCCGACAAGTTCGTCTTGTAACCAGAGAGTCTTGGGTTCGAACTCTGGTGATGAGTGCGTACTGGTGAAGAGTTCCAAACTAGGCTGATGAAACAGCTGTCCAGTACTCCCTGCAGGTTTTCAAATGGTTATCTAACTGATTTCAGCTCATGATGAAATCCTCCAACCATTCAAAGTTAGTTATGCTTGGATTGATCATATCAGTGAAATTCCAACTACACTAGTGAATGAATCCATGATAAATATTTACACTGAGCTCTTCTAAACATCCATTAGTTGTCAGTTTTGAGATCTTTGCAGTTGATCGAATTTAGGGGATACTGAATTCGTTCTTTTCTGTTTAAGGAAATAATACACATAAAAGTAGAATCACTCTCACAGTTATTAAGGTAAGAAAGATTTTAATGTGTAAATCGAGAGCAAAAAAGTCAGCGAAGGGGTCTCTTTCCGAAACGTCAATTTTTTTATTCTAGCTTGACTCCACCCCGTACTTTTAGTACAAGTATGGAATTTTCAACATGTGATATCGGTAGCCCAATTTTGCAGGCCGACCATTGATATCGGGTGTGCATCGGTCGGGGATCGAACCCCGGATCATGTGCATGGTTGGCGAGCGTCCTAACCGCTGTTCTACCGACGCACATGGCTGTATAGTTATTTAGGGACTTTAGGGGTACAGTGATAATTAAAGTAAGATTATTCAACATTTGCACATGTTCTTATTTCTCGTACGCTTTGATTTATTTTCGTTATAAGACTGGTAGACAATTTAATCCACTGACCGATGGATATTTACTTTCCAGCAATATGTGGTTGAGTTTAAGTTTACGAATACATATCGCCTTGATATATATATCAGTAAGCGCCCCTGAATTATATCTTAAAAGTTATTCTGATATCGACCCTACTCTGATAATCCTTATTTGATTAAATTACCAAATAAAGTGTTCATTATTCCTATTCACAAATCCCTTAACACTTTGTTTATTTAAATCGGCCTTTTATTTTTTCCTAAATACATTTATTTGACAAATAAATGTGTGATCAGATTGTTCGAAATCTACTGTGCAAATACATCAGATCCTTCACATGGTCTCTGTCTTCTAGTGACACAACACAAAATTTTATAAACTCCAAATATCTGTTTTCTCTTGAAATATTCCAGAAAATGAGTTCTTACTCTACATAGTCTTTGGGGCGAATTAACCTCACTCTGAATGCTAAGCACCTCAACAAGCTACCCTTGCCATTCATAGGTATACAGCTAAGCACCTGAAGAGAAAAATGCTTCGTTCGGAATTAGTTTTAACTCATGACCTGGACATACCTTGAATTAAACTGCTGTCATCGCTATCCTAACAAGCGGGATCTTTAGTTTTCTGTTTAGTTTTAAATTCACCCCATTACTATTTCAGCAGTCCTATTCGTATTATCGAATTCATTTTCCTTTTTGCAAGATTACTCAAGCGCCGATTCACCAAATTCGCCTTATTTAGCTGAAAGTATTATTTTGGTTTGAAAGAAATTTTTTCTACTATGCTTGGTTGCATCAAACTCAGTCAACTAATTTGTCTGTTTACATTTTAAGCATGAATAAACTCAATTTTATCTGGTACTTTTATTTTCATGAACTGGCTTTAAAAATATGAAAAATATTTCACAATTTTGTGTGGCTTGAAAAATGGAAATAACTTACAAACTATTGGTTAATTTATAAACCAATCAGATTTCAACTAAAATTGACTGACCTTGAACGCAAATGGATCAAATATTAGTTTATTATTTTCCTGGATTAAGTCACAATAAATATTCTTCACTGTCTAGTGTCATTCGCCAAACTAATAATATGTATGCAAAATCAAATTTATGGTTCGCATATCGTGGAGCAGTTAAACAATTTTCTTTATATTAAAACTTAATAGTTTCTGTGATAACACGTTTATCTGGATTGATAATATAGACTTCGTATATGAAGATGACCGCAAGACAATCTGAGGATTTAAATACCATGCCTAATTTTGTTCCAACACGTATTCAATGCTACCTATGCGATTTACCACGTTATCCATGGGCAATGCTATCAGAATTCAGTGAACCAGTTTGTCGTGGTTGTGTCAACTATGAAGGAGCTGACAGGATAGAATGTGTTCTTAGTCGGGCTAGATTAATGAAAATGCACTATTTACCACGTGTATATCATCAGAGAACTGTCAATGATAAACTAGAAGAATATTCTTCCTCCTCTAATACTGCACCTTTATCAACATCCTCAACACATGATGAACGTAATATTTCCTTTAATGATTTAAATATGGAGCCAAGAAAATCACCATTAGATGTGAACAAATCGCTGATGTTTAAAACACAAATCAATAAAAATCCTGAAGTAAATCGTTTTATTGATTCACATCTTTTAAATAATCAGATTAACGATGATATTTATAAAAGTATAAGTATGCTAACAGGGAGCAATATACAACCAACTCCAGCGAATATTTCGTCAACTTCAGTGACATCATCAGCCTCGTCATCGACTATTACAAGTAATAATGTAGGAAATTCTCCACAACAACGTGATTATGATAATCGTTTAAAAGATGTTTGTATGAATTTTTTAAAGTATGTTTCATTGCCGCCATCCTTAGCATCAAATGCCTCATTATTAGCAAATTTAAATTCTAAAACAATATTCTCTACTGAAGATCAACTGGAACATTCAAACACAACAGAAGATTGTTCAACGGCTCAATTTAAAGGGAATCATCAAAATAAAGGAGTCATTGTATCACCATCACAAAGTGATAGTCTAATAAATTCTTCACTACCTAATGTTGTATTGAATCCAAATGAAATGAATGCAATAAATACGCCTAAGCTGAATACTTTTCTAAATGATGACTCGATAGATAGCTCTGTTACAGAAGCAAAGAATGGTTTGATACCAGAGTCAACATTACAGTCTCTGTGGAATTCTCGCCTACTGACAACCTACATACAAATCATTGGAAGTATTTTAGGCTCAAATCCAACAGTCACTGATGAAGAAAACCATCAACAATTGAATAACAGTGTAAACAGATTGAATTCTCAGAATAAAGCGAATACAGGAAATCTGCTGAATCCCCTGATCCCTCCATACCTGTTCAATGAAAACTCTCATACTGGAAAGTTGTCCAAGCTGAATATGAATTCAAATCATTCTCATCTATTGCTGGCACAACAGTTAAAGCTGCCTATTCTTATAAGATTACGTAACCAATCAAATATTCAAGCACATTTCTTAGGCTTAAATCATACTTCCCTTATTAATGAGGATGGTAACCATTCAGAACAGAATACTAGCAATTTAGTGAATATCATGTTTTTTGAATACCCCATTGGTTCGTCAAATACATGTAAAGGTTTTCATCAGCTGATAAAACTAATCAATACAAGAGTTAGTCATCAGAAGAAACACTTAAATACTGATGTCAACGGTAACAATGGTGATGATACTGCTACTGATAATGATAATGTCAACTGTTTAGGCGTTGAAGACTTTGAGTATGAAGTGGGTAGAGATCATGTTAATCAAATTATTTGGGCACCGTTTATTGATTTAATCATGTTAATCATCCAATTGATTTATCAACCATTTATTCAAAAACAGATATCCGCTACAACGCCATTATTATTGCCTAGAGATTTATTAAAACAAATCAATATGCTAAACAGTACAACTGTTGAAACAATGAATTTATCAAGAAAACGAAATTCTAATAGTTATAGTTCAGATGATCCTAATTTAAATCAAATGTATGATATAGGTCAAAAACAGCCTCGACTTGAAAATGCTCAAAGTTATCTTCACAATGAACTCAATGGGATTAAAAGTCATATCGGGAATAATTATACCAGTAATATCAATAATCCATCAGATAGGATGACTGATCCTTTGAAGAAATGGAAACCTCTATTACAGCCTAGAAAATCACCGAGTAAAAGAATATTGTGCAATTTATGTCCACGTCATTTGGAAGGTAGTCATTTCGTTCAGTGTCCAGCTAATCCAGAGCATAGATTTTGTTTTCAATGTGCTCGGAATTATCTGGAAAGAATGATGAATGAACATCAAACAGCTAGAAGTGGTAGTAATTTGAATAATCTGAAAATTTTGGAAATTTATTGTCCTAGCGGTAAAAAATGTGTTTTACCAGGTTCAAAATCACCATGGGCATTTGTCACTTCAGAGATAGCTGCTATTTTAGGCAAAACTCAGGTCAATGATCATATCTCTCGAAGTGATCCGTCATTAACATCGGTAAATACAAGTGTCCAGGATACACCGGCTAGTGTTGCTACTAGTTACAGTATAAATATTAACAAGTGTTCCACTAATGCTAATCACAATCTGCCAACCAACTGTCGATTAGAAACTATCTCAAATACTAGTTCTACACAATCCTCGTCAAACAGTCAACAGGATGGCAGTGATCTTTTGTCTCCGCATAGTGTAAACTCAAAAACTCCACCTGAATCGCCAATAAAAACATCGCTGAGTGAAGTCTCTTTATCTCTTAGCAGTAAACCAGTCAGTACTGGCTGTCATCAAATAGGAATGAATAAAATGCCTAAAGATAGTCATAATATATGCGGAAAACTGCGTAGTCATCGACGTCTAACATCGTCCCCTTTGTCGGTAAGCACTACTTCCTCACCAGCTACTTCAACACCATCACTGTCATCCTCAATGATTAAATCCAATGAAGTGAAATCTAAATCGTCATCATCTACTTCATCATTGTCGTCAACATCAACAATAAAATTAGTCGAGAATGATTCCACAAAAAGTAACATTGAACTATCACCTTCTGAGATGAGTAATGAGATTTCAGATAATGAATAAATAAGTCAATCAGTCTTGTTCTTCTGTATCAGTTGGAAATGTTGCCACTTTCTCGCATACCCGTACTCCTTCACCCTTCTATCACTATCACCATTACTTCTTTATTAATAACTGTATGAAGAACAGAATATATAACAGTGATTAACATACTTACTGTCTATTGCTTGTACAAAATTATTGTTATTGTTATTATAATTGCCATTATTGATTTTTTTTCATTTTTGAATTAACTTCAGAATATTATTTGAACAGTTTAACAGTATATTATGAGTATAATAATAATTATTATTACTGCTATGAATACTATTCAAGAAATAATCCACATTATATAATAATAAAAGTACTGAAGCATGCTGCTTTGCCGATTTACTTATTTCCTTTCATAAGACAACAGTTCCACTGACTGTAAACCGACGAATGTGCCCATTAACACTTAAAAGGAAATCAGATTTCCAAGTGCTGGTTTGCAGGGATTTGGTTGATTGGTTACAGGATTTCATCATGAGCTGACATTGGTTACAGAACCATTGGAAAACCTACAGGGAGTAATGGACAGCTGTTTCGTCATAGTTTGGGACTCTTCATCAGTACGCACCCACCGAGATTCGAACCCAGGACCTTCTGGTTACAAGGCGAGCTCGTATACCATTAAGCCACTGGGACCCGATCCAATGGCCAGTCCATGAATTCTAACTTCTGCCAATTCACGACATAGCGCGACCGCTAGCCAATGTCTTCGGCGAGTATTTGTCCTCACGCCCGACCTGCTGCACCCTACTGGTCACGACTTCTCACTAGAACCCCAAGTAACTACCTACCTGAATGAGGCAAGTCACTAGTGAGCATCTCATTGAAATCAGATTTGAGTGAAATTCGGAATGGCTGTTAGTATTGTACCTATAGCGACTGAAGTCAGTTTATTAGTGAATTAGACCAAACACCGTTAGAAGGAGATAGATAGTAGACATAATGTCTCGGATTTGGAAAAAAAGGCGAGACTGTGATCTTGTCCAAATTATTGATAGAGATTTATGTGACAGTCTCTCAGATATGTAATTACTGCCTTCAAAAACGTATCTGTCCAGAATTCTGGATAGGAAAAAACCTTACAGTATATATTTTTGACCTTAGGATACTTTTATTTTGCAAAAGCTATAAATAACACGTAATGGCCGATTTCCCTGTCACATTTCCGCTTTATACAACTGTATACCTGTGAAAGTTAATTGTAGAACGAGTGGAAGGACTGAATTTTTTTAGATATCTGAAATAAATTCAGGTTAATTTTAGTAAGGCATTAAGAAGACAAATATTTCGAGATGACAACATTTCATAGTTTCTTGACTATCGCATTACAGCTAATGAGGTTCACAATAATAAAATGTTTGACACTGAACTGTATAAAATACAAGTACAAAAATAATAACTAATCGTAGTTCAGTAGGTCAAATAGTACATGAATGTGGAGGTTGAATTCTGTCGTTTTCTGAACCTACAGTTCTGGATGCATATGATCATAGATTGGTGTCAGTCAGAGAACCATTGAAAACCAGATTTTTTTTATTGCTTCACGTTCCCAGTAGAACATAAGGCTTCAAGCTAGAGACTTGTAGATTTGGTAGCAGAGATGTTTATTTTTACAGGATGAGGTTGCTAGCCTCATACGTAACCTTCCCTCTTTACTAGCTCTATTAACGGCTTAGCGAGGTAAAGGAGTGAGTCGACTGGGGGTCGAACTCCGAACGAGATACGTGGTCGGCGAGCATTCAACTACTGTGCCACCGACGCACAATGGAAACCAGATAGCACTTGATAATAGTTTCACCCTAGTTTGGGACTGTACATCATTACGCACCTATGACCCTACCTGGGATAGAACCAAGGACCTAGAGGCTACGAGGATGAGCTTGCTGATCGTTTACCCACTTGGGCTGAAGTTCAATGGCCAATGCATTTTAGCCTCCGTTGTTGTTTCTGACGACATTGGAACATTCTATTGGTTCCACCTGTATATACATATATGTCCCTGCAACTGCAGGTGAATTTTTAGAATCAGTGTAAATTGGAGTTCATACAGCGTTATCCATTAGTCATGCGCTATGAAGTGAATATGTTCAAGAAACAAGGCGAAGGGATTCGACGTAGAATGATAAATTAAAGCACCGAGTAAATGGCATCAACCAAATTTAGGAATTTTTATTTCTCTGTATATGAAAAACGTAAAATAAACTGCTTTTACTGACAATTTTCTCCACTTAACAATAAATTTTTTATGAAAGTGATAGTAAACCAGAACTAGAAGTAATTTCTTTTGGTAGATGACGAGTAGAGGTAGAATCCCCGTTTCGCCCTCTTTTGAAAGTCTTTACCTGAATGTACCCATATCGCATAGTATAGTGATTTGCGTACCTATGCTAGAAACCACTCCTAGAAAGCAACTACTAAACAAGTTTAAGGAGGAATTGGAGGTCACAGCAAGGTATCCATCCTACAGTCTCAAACACCGACATATACAGATGACCTTAGTCCAATAATGACTAAAAATTCGAAGATTTAATTAATACTGATTATGTCAGTTTCATGATGTATCGAAGCAGGGAACGCGTTAACAAGCATCAATTTTCAGTGCTGTTAAGATCAGTTACTCCACTCATCATTTCCCATTCGATTTCCACTTGATGGCCTGATGCGCGATGTCATTTGATAGTCTCCCTGTGTCCAATCCATCTAAATTTTACTCCCCCTTATTTGCTGAAAAATAGGCTCTTGTTTGGTTCGTTCCCAAGGACCTATTGTTTGACAGATATGTAGGAAGAAACATTGGTGCAGAATAATCTGGATCCATTTTATTTCGTTGGTTCTCATCAGCTGCATTCAACCTTTGTCCATTAGCAAGCATAGTGTCAGAGCGTCATAGTAAAATAAGGCATTGAGATTTACTGAGTGTCTAGTGTTACGACATATATATATTTTGGTAGAGAGAAGTTTCTTGAAAAAATTAGTTAACAGTTGTGTTGTTAAGGTGGTAACAAAAGACAATTAGCAATAGTTACGTAATCATGTAAGAGATCGAAATTTTAAAATTACGGTGCACATGAGGTCAGATGAGAAGTTGGTGATGTAATACAGTTAGCAGAACTCAGAAGATCAAGAAAAATTATCTCTTAAGAGACTCAAGCGAAGTATAAAGCGGGGGGTGGAGTGAAAAGATAAGTTAACAAAATTAGAAAATAAAGAGTTACTAAGAAGTGAGTTACCAGGGTAATTGAAGTTCAAGGACGGACTCTTTTTGGACACATAAGTCAGGCTTCGATCGTTATATTGCTATAGCTTCAGCAAACCTGAGAAGACTTGAGGTACTTTTTCTGTTAATTACTTTGAATGATTCCAGCAAATCTACTCGGTGTCCTGTGTCAATCAGATGTTTGGCGATTGAAGAGCTTAAATAATTCGGTCCCTTTAACCGGAGGCTCCTAGGTACATGTTCGCATAATCTGACGTAGGCCCTCCTCTCTGTCCTTCCAGTGTAACTGCTCCCGCCGATACATGTGAATTGGTATATACAGTTGGAGGTAACATGTGAGGGGTACTTGTCAATCTTTGACTGCACCAGTGAAGAGGTTGCTCGGGATAGAGAGACTAATAACGTTGCAGGATACGTCCTAGACAGGGCTGCGCTTAATCTTTTATTTATTATTGTCATAATGTCGTCGCCCTTGTAGTCGAGTTTGATGAAAATAGGCTTCTTACTGACTGTAGCGGTATCAAGCTTCTTGAGTTCATTCTTGCCATATTTGTTAATGAAACTTCGTGGGTAATCATTTTCTTTCAAGAGTTCTTCAAGAAACATTAGTTCACTGTGTAGTTTTTTGATAGACATATTCTCTTCGCTCTAGAGAAAAGCGTTTTCACCAGCGTTCGTTTGTATGTAGGAGAAAATGGAGATGGGTTGGGAACACAGTAGGGAGAAGGTCGAATGACATCGCGCCATCGTCAGGCTATTTTTCTGATGGAATTCAGATGGGGAACGACGAGTGAATCATCGGTGCGCGGGTGACATGATGGAGGTCGTGTGAAGAGGAGATGAGAGACTATGGACAATTGTGGGGCTAAATCAAGAGAACGTCAGAAAATAGGACAAGGCGGAGACGTGTTGCTGAAGCCCTATGTTCCTTTTAGAACCTAAGGGAACAATAAAAATACATACTGATCCCATTGAATCTAGTGGGAAAATTTTGCGACCAAATGTAGATCACCTAAGACTTCATCAAACTATATCTCCACTCTTTAACTGCAAATCTTGTCTGAGATCTTATAATAAAAACCCCACCCTCCAGAGTAGATATTTGTCCACCGATTTGCCGAATAGTATGCAGCAAAATGACTTACAGAAGGCTGTTTGAAGTGAATATCCGCATGCAGTTAGTGCACAGCCATCTGGTCTTAGAATTTATCACTAATAATAGATGTCTATATTCGCACGAACGTAGCTGTAAACACCTGGTAGAGACAGTAGAATGATGACTTCAAAATAGAAGTATAAGCAACCAGATGGTATCTGTAGTATCCTTATTTAGAACGTAGCTCAATCCCTAGTGTAGAATTCCTCACTTAGCTTCTAAATTGAGAATAACTTATGTTCCTTAGAACCTCTTGTAACACATAATTCCCTCCCCCCAAAAAAATTCATCGACTAAACAATTATGAATTTCAGGATAAATGTAATCAATAACTGACACAAACTACAGACCAAACGCGGAACGGAATATGCTGAATGGTTGCTTCATATTGTTTTTGAAGTCTTCAAGACTTTTACTTTATGACCTTATGCAGAAGTGATTTCAAGATATGTTGCGTTCAACAGCCAACTGGAGGGGATAACACTACTCTTGTTTTCTGACTTTGACATATTTCTAATGAAGCAGTCAGACTAGTATAATTCCGCTTATTGGCGTGTAAATATGAGTTAACGTCTCCTAGTTTACTGGCCAGTACTAAGTCAGGAAAAGACGGAAGGTTTGATGTGGGTTGACACTGAATCTTCGAAACATGAGAAGAATAAATTTATTCACCAACGGAATCAAAAAGATCTCTCAATTCCAGGACAGATTATGATGGTAGGTGAATGCCTTCCGAAGGCCAGCAAGATAATGTGTTTTTCTTAAGTGGGGGTAAATTTCAGCATGGAGATATGGAGTGTTGACACCATGTCTGAAGCTAGAAAGACTGCTCAGATTATAGAAAAAGTGATAAGATATGGTATACAGGTGTTAGGAATACGAGGCAGCAGACTGCACGTAAGTAGACTTTCCCAGCTGCTAAAAGGAGAATCAGTAATTT